TCTTCCTGTGGATGTTTAGTAACGATCCAGCTCTGACCCCCAATTGTTTCACGTTCCTAAGCAGCGCAAGTTTACAGCAGAGCTCCTCTCCTCGAGTTTTTCCTCACAATCACTTGTAGCTGCAGCAGGGGATGGAGCAGACAACCAAACCAGTTGCCTAGTGAGGCTAGATGCATGCTGAAGCACTGGGGTAGCCTGTCTCAGGAGCTCTGCAATTGTCAGTACTTGATTTGGAAAATGTTTGAGATGCACCTAGTAGGTGTAGTCTGATAATCTGAGAAGGAAGAAAGTCATTCTTGTAAGTCATTCATTCATGGACAGTATTTAGGCAGTATTTAGCCTTATTTTGCCATGACTTTTTTTAGAAATGCTTTTTCCCGTCTTTTGTGCAGTGCACTGATTCATCACAGCCATTTATCTGGTCTGGTCCTCAGAATGGTGGTTGTGGCTCGCCCTGCTTGCCTTGCTTTTGATTTGTATTGGAGTTTACTACACATTTATCACATCTTCCTACAAGAATAAAGGAATGTGGAGCTTGTCGATTTTCTCGGTTTGTGTTGCCATGAGGCATAGGTTAAGAAAATGACTAATGCCTTAAAGAGGAACAGTTCTGTTGCCCTTTACAGTAGGTTAGGTACTTGCATTGCCTGCTTTTTGTACTTTTATTTTGTACTTATCGTACTTTTCGAGTCAATACATAACTATGCTTTCAGTCGCGTTCTGAAACAGGTGTTTTATGGGTAACCTAGTAAGCAGATGTTTAGGTGTAGTATCAAGAGCAGTTGGGCGAGCTAAAGAAATTTACCAACAAAATCCATGCAAGGACAGAAGAACAGCCTCAGCTGTTTCAGTGACTCACCCTCACAAAACATCCAGTTGGAAAGTGACAAGTCTCAGAAAACTGTGTGTTTCCCTTCCCCTGGTAAATGTTTTTCACATAACTAGTTAGCCTTGGAGATGTTCTCCATTTAGGTACTTGCTCTTGAAGTGCAGGCGCTGAGGCAGTTCAGATTCGAGCACCGAAGGGGTACAGGAAGACATCTGCTCCCACAAAGGGTAGGTGCCATTACATGCAGCGGGGTGAGGGTTGTTTTTTTTTTTCTTTCAGGGTAGAAAAACTAGAATTTCTCAGGTAGACAAAGAATCGGTGTTAGGCATTTGAAGGCACGCTTTTTCCCTGCAGTCAGCCTCTCCTGGAGCTAGCTGTAATTTACTGAAAGGGAATTCCCTTCCAGCCTGGGGTGAGATATTTCATGTTTGTTTGTTTTTATTCTCCCTTCCTTTGCATTAATTGTGGGGAAGTGTTAGTGGAGGAGTTGGTTTGTAAGATAGGAGCCCCCCGTGACGTGGGTGAATGCGAATTTACCAGCTTAGTCATGATATTCTAACTCCAAAACCTCATGAAAGGGGGTGGGGAAGATTAGAAATCTTCCTTACACTAGAAATCTTGGTCCAGCCCTGGTTGGGAGCAAGACATATTTTTTGTTCTTTATATTTTTCCCCCCTATACAGCCTGACTGGTGTACAAAGAGGGGGCTCACAGTGGTTATCTGCACTGTGGAGGAGGCAATGAGAACCTGTATGAGTGTCCTTGTGCTGTTGGGCCAGCGCAGGAAGGTTTTGGTAATAAATTTCTGTGGCGGGTTGTGGAAGTAAGCTTAAGCTGGTGGCGTGATGCAAGAGCAGTGCAAACTGCCATTGCTGGCCATTGCTTGAGAGCTGCAGAGAGAAGGGAGGCTGGGAAGAAGGGAAAATAAAGAGGGGAAAGATAAGGGAAAGCAAAGCATTTAAAACTGAAAGGCTGGTGGGTGGTGTTCACTGTATTTAATACAGAAGCATTCAGTGCCCGCTTTGTGTTCCTGCAGTGACTGCAGGAGCACGCCAGCAACAAATGGGCATGTGGGGTGAGGAGCAGGGACAGGCTTCTGCAGGGTTTATTCAGACAGAAATCCTGCTCGTGCAGGATCCAAGTATGTGCAGAAATCTTTTTGTCTGTGCTTCTTTGGAATATACTGGAGACTGAAAATACGAAGAGCTCTGTGTATGTGGCATACCCGTGTAGTGAAATTCCTGATGTATTATTCATTTTGTTCGAATTTTTAGGAAAAGACAAAGCACTTCAAGGGAGATGACTTTGAAGTTGTTGGTTTTTTGGTTTTTTTTTTTTTTTTTTTTTTTTTTTTTTTGTTCTCAGGTAGAGTTGGCTTTTTTTTCACGAGGACCTCACAGTCATCATCGGTACATGTTTATTTCAGGCAAGAGGCTTAATGGCAGTCGAGATCAAAAGAGAGAAGCTCCTGTCTGACAGTCATTCTTTCTGTCACAGCTAGGGCTCCTAGCTAAGCAAAAGACAAGCAGAAACCTGTCACAAACTTCTTTTTCTGTGCTTGTGTTCTGCCCTGGGATGTGATTGTAGGTTCTGTAAAGGTTTGCGAATTGGTGGGTTGTTATTGTTCAATTTTGCTGTGCTTTGGGGAATGAAAGCTGCACTCTTGGAAAGATGTTGTGTATGTTTGTCACAAGGCAGTTCTTCGTAGAGCAAGTCTTGGAGCTTAGCCATGTATCTGCTTCCTCACTTCCCTATCTCTACATCTCTCCCTCGCTGGGATGTGAGCATCTTTGGCTGTCATTGGGAAATCCGTTTCCAACCAGCGATATCCTTCTAACACGTGGCAGCTTGGGTCTCTGAGCGTTGCTTTGATGCGTAATAGCAGGCATTGAGTAATGGGTGCGCCTGCCACCGTAGTAGTTATCTGCTTTGATTAGGAGTAAACAGAAGGACTGACAAGTCAGTCATTTATCTGCACCTTAAATGTGTTTTTATCATATTAAAGTAATGTTATTTGAATAGAGATTGTTTATTAGCCTGGCTGTAACACTGTTAGAAGAAATTCATTCATGCCACTAACGTGTGTTCTCCAGCGTACAGCACGATGTCATCAAAAGCTTCAGGCAATTAACTGAGCTAATGATGACTGAAAAAGTAGAAGACTTGTTCCTGCCTGTTCTCTGTTTTCATCTCCTAGTTGAGGCCAGTGGAGGACCTAAACTGAAAGGGTTTCAGATGTGTTTCAAGGGCCAGCTTGGTTGTGATCTTCCCTGAGGTGCATGAGGATGTGTGGAGCTCTGGGGTTTACCTGAGGTCAGGAAAGCATCTCAGGTGGCTCATCCTTCCTGCAGAGACGTGTGCCCTGAGAAGGGGGTGCTTTTCTCTGAGCAGAGAACAGCCCCTTGCAGTGGAGCTTTGCTTCAGTGCAGAAGTTTCGTGGTAGCTTTGTCAGGAAGCTTTGTCAGGAAACGTGTCCCTTGCCACCTTCTCCTCTTCATCGTGACAGACTCCTCTCATTTGTCCTGTGATCACCTTAGGTCTTCCCAGGGGGTTCCTCAAGGAGAGGCATTGCCTTTAGATGTTTTTTTCCCATTTCCTTGGAGATAAAGCTCTCCAAGCTTGTTGGTTTTACTGTGTCACTCCAACTTTCCTTGCCCCAAACCAGAGGAACATTACTGCGTAAAGGTTGATTTCACAAGTCTTGTGGTCAGGCTTATAGTTACGAGCAAAATAAATACGGGACTTAATTCTTGCCTGTGCTTGATAATGGGATAAGCCAATGGGAAGGTAAAAACTGTATGATGGTCACCAGGAGGCTGCTGAGGAACCGCTCTCCATCTTGTAAGTACAGCTCTGTTTTGAAGAGCCCTCACAGCCCTACAACTCCTGGTGTTTGTTTATTAGAATTAAAATCTGGAAACAGATCTGAATGCCAATCCAGAACGTTTTAGGAGTACTTAACAGGGATTTCCCTGTTGCCCCCTCTTCCGGCCCCCATCCCTCCCTTGCTTAATCATTTCATCAACTAAAGGATGTGCAGATGTACTTGCTATTAATAGCTCCTCTTGGCTCTGCACACTTTGCCAGCCACCCCCCTTATCTTTAGCCTGGGGACGGCAGTTCCTCATCCAGTCCGAGCTGTTGGCTCTGCTCTGAATGATTGATACACTCCTGGCAAATGTAAAATGCATCTGTTGTAGCAGGACACGCAACTGCTACTCCTGACAAGTTAAAAGGATGATGCATAAGGTGTACGTGCAGCAGACCTGCTTCCAGATGTCTTGTCCAAGCTGCTTTCTGGTCTGTAATTGTGCAGTTTTTAGAGGTTCCTCTCTTTATGCCTTTCATTTAATTGACTCACAATTGTGCTTTTGTAACTGTCTGCCACTTAACTCGTGTTTTTAGATGGCACTTCTTTTTTGTTTGTTTGATTATTTGCTTGGTAAAGCACTGTAGTGAATAGTAATGTAACTCTCAACAGAAAAATCAAGAATTTTACTATCTGATGTACTTCAGTCTCCATTCCATTGTGGGGCAATGACAGCATAGCATAAAATCAAGAGAAATGTGTACGTGAGAGATTCTTGTACTGGACAGTCCCATCTGTTAGAAGTTACTGGCCCGAGTGGTCGGACTGAGTACAAAATGCAGTCACTGGCTGTGCTGTCGCCCATATTGCATATAGGACGTCCTGAGAGCACAGCAGTTGGAGCCTAGCCAGCCAGGAGCCAAGTGGTGCTGATGTGGAGTGAGGCCCGATGTGTTGTCAGTGCTTCCAGGGGTTTCCAGCTGGCAGAACTCCTAGGAAGGAGTGTGAGGAGCAGTGCATAGTGCAAATAGGCCTCTTTGTTTTTCCTATAAGTTTGTTTCATTCTTCATGTAATGTTGTATTGTAAACCACAAATGCTAATTTTACGTGTATCTTGATAATACATTTTTAACATTAAATTTGTAATTCTCAAATAAGTAAAACCCCTCAGTATTGCTATAAAACATTTCTACTCCCTCCTCCCATGCCATCTCCTTATCTCCCTTTCTCCCCTCTGCCTCCCCTGCCTTACCCTTTTTTTTGCCCTGTAGTGTTGAGGCAACTGATACTTTTCAACGCATTAATAATTTGTGGCTTTGCATATGCGCTGTGCATTCATTTATGTCTTGTTCTTTATTTTAGAGATGGTGATGTTATTGGAATGGTGGTCGGGCACAGACTGCACCCTCTACACTGATCCAGAGAGTTACCACAAGTATGGGAAGGAGAATGCCATTGTAATTCTTAATCACAACTTCGAAATTGACTTTCTCTGTGGTTGGAACTTCTGTGAAAGATTTGGAGTCCTTGGGGTGAGTTTTGATTAGCATTAAAAAAAGCTTCCTCTCCTTGGGTGTGGGGAAAAAAACACACACAGATAAATTCTTTGTGTTTTTGAGAGTGTTGTGGTTTAACCCCAGCAGGCAGCTAAGCACCACACAGCTGTTTGTTTGCTCCTCACACAATGTAAGAACAAAGAAAGGTGAAAGTAAAGTACAAGTGCAAGAGCACGTAGGTTGAGAAAAGGCACTTTACTCAGTGCCAAAGGTAAAGCAAAAGAAGGAATTCATTCACTACTTCCCATCAGCAGGCAGACGTTCAGCTGTTGCCAGCAAAGCAGGGCTCATCATGGGTAACAGTTACTTGGGAAGACAAACACCATGGCTCTGAACATGCCTCCACCCTCCTCCTTTCCTCAAGCTGTTACTGCTGAGCACAGTGCCCCATGGTGTGGGACATCCCTCTGGACAGCTGTCCTGGCCGTGTCCCCCCCCCAGTTCCTGGTGCACCCCCAGCTCCCTCACTGGCAGGGCAGTGCCAGGAGCAGAAGAGTCCTGAGCTCTGTGTGAGCAGGGCTCTGCAGCAAGTCCTAAATCCAAAACAGAGCAACATACCAGCTACAGTGAAGAAAATTAACTCTATCCCAGCCAAAACTGGGACATTAAGTTAACAGATCTCTGTTCAAATTTCATGCAATTGTCGTCAGGACTTAGAGACATGAACCTAAGTCAGTGCAGTGGAATTACATGGAATACTGGGTTAGGGTTGTTTGGGCATTCATAGAAATGTTAAAAGTATTGCAGTTACAGCTGATGAAAGAGGTATTTTTAGCCTGTAGAGGTTTTACAGTTGTTTCTTTCAGCGTGCTTGCTGCGTAACTATTTGGTTGATTGTGCTGCAGAAGGATGAGCTACTCCATGATACTTTGCCAATAAATTGCAGAATTTGTTTGCCTTCTCTAGAGCTGTCTTACAAATCCACCAAAACCATAGCTAGAGCTTGAATGATGTAGTTAATGTTGTCTCTCAGAACAAAAGGGCTGCCATCTGAAGTGAAAGCACTAACCAAGTGTTAACTAGTAAAGGGTGGGAGAATGGGTTATCCACAATTGAATGTACTATTGCGTTAAGCTAGGAGTATGTGTGCATTTGTTTTTAATTTTTCTTGTGTCCCCTGTTAGTTCATAGAGATGATTCTAGCACCTCTCCTAAGCTGGTTTGGTTTAGTTCTGTGATTCTGATGATATTTTCTGCTGACAAGAGACTAAGGAAACAGTTTCACCCTCCAAAGAAAACAGACTAATACCTCATTTTGGCAGTCTTCTATAGTATCCTCTTCTAACCTTGCTACTGAATGCTGTCAAAAGTCCTGAATTGAGTTTGTGTGAACCTATGACTCCTTGTGGCCTTTCCTTTTGGCTCTTTGCATTTGCTGGATATTCAGGCACTACTTGAACGCCTTTCAAATTCGAGTCATGAACATCTGCTTTAAAACAAACAAATTCCACAAAGATGAAAAAAAAAAAGCACCACCACCAACAAAAATGAACAATTACAACAAAAACAAAACAACCTGAAAACTGGAGGGAAATAAACCAAAGGACTGCAGGTCCTGCATATCAATGAAATGGCTGTTGGCTCCTCATTACTGTGGAACAAGTTTACTGTCATGTCTAGGCCTCAAGTACAGAGCTGGAAAATATCATCAAAGACAGCAATAGATGTAGGGAAATGTGTTTGTGGCAGACAGATATATGTGCCAAAAGCATTCTTCTTTCTGTATTCTCATTATACAGTGGTTCTTTAGTATAGTCTGTCTAATTTTGTAGGCCTAACGATGACAGTTCTCGAGATAAAGCTGTACTGTAGAAGGTCAGGAGCTTCTTCAGAAAGCAGCATTGTGGAAAATTAAAGGGCTGTTTCTGTACGAACTAATAGGGACCCACAGGGTCAGAAATCTCTTGTTTTACGTTGGTGTTGTGCGGTTGGATTGAATTTCATTAGCTTTAATTATTTTTTAATAGTTTTTCCAAGTTAATCGAGATTATGTTTTAATTTTGTGTATTGTTCCCTACACATAAGAAGGCCACTGCATAAAACATTAACTATTGCACAATTACTCTGCCGCGCTAACTGAAAACACTGCTGTCTTTGGATGCTGAGTTATTACTCAGTTTGTATCTTTGCTAATCTTAGGGATCGTTTAGGAACTGATATATCTTTTTGTAATTACTTCTTAAAACTATTTCGGTCTTGATTAATGTACTGTGGTTTTACTTTCCAGAAACTGTTCCAGGAGGAAATGGTTCCCATGTGCTCTTACTTGCGTAGATGTCTTAACACAGGAAAGCAGTTTATTCCCCTGTTGGGGTAACCAGTCAAGGTTCATCATAAGCCATCAAAATAAACAACCAAAAAAAAACCACACCCCCTTCACCAGCTGTCATCCTAGATTTGTTTCCTTACAGGATTTACTGTATTGGCATACTGATGCTAGGTTTGGTGCAGCACAGGAGTGGATGGATGCCTGGCGGTGCAGGGTATAGCTTGGTGTGACTTTGTGCTGTCTTACACCAGCTTCTTGTGCAATTGTACTGTGCAATACTGCAGGATTTGGTGTGGCAGCACAATTACGAATGTAAAAGCCATTATGCTGAAGGCTCATCTTGCCCTGTCTTGAACAGAGGCCAGAAGCAAATGTTTGAGAGAGAGTTGCAAGAACAAGGCAAGCATACAAAGAAATTTTGAAGGGCTGTCCAAGCCCCCAGCAATTTGTGGCTCGGGGAATTTGTGAGCTAATGGCGTTTTATATTTAATGGGGTTTAGTTTTACGCTGCAAAGTGTCTATGCAAACTTTTTAGGCATTTATCAACATCTCACTACGCTAATCATGTACTCACTGCTCTTGAAAGGGAAATTTTGCCCATGCCATCCTATCTTCTGCATCTGTTCTGGTGCTTGTCTCATCGGTATTAGCGTGTTTCAGGCACTTCTCTCTGTCGTGCCGTACCTGCTTCTATGAACGAAAGGAAAGATGACTGGGGAGGGTGAAGAGAGAGAAGATGAAGACAATTCATGGCTGAAGGAGTGGAACTGATTGCGTTTAGCAGCAGAAGGTGGACAGAATGGCTTTGTTGTGATATCCAGCAGTACCCTACAGCCATGGCAGATGATGGCCATGCTGTTAAAGACACTGTAAGTGTGTGCCCAAACTGTTTTACACCTTGAACTTCTGTTAAACGAAGCCACTAATTCTAGAGTTTGGTGGTGCTGTGCTTGGTTGTTTTGTTGTTTGTTTGTTTGTTTGTTTTGAGTTTTGAAGGAGTAGGTAAAAAAAAATCTGCCATTTCTGACATTTATTTTACATTTTTATCATACTTTTGGATATGATTTTTTATGATACTTGTGGAGCAGCCATTCAAAATGCTAAAAGGTACCAGCTCGACAGTGCTGAGTGAGAGCCAGAGATCTATTCATTTACAGAGGAAAAGGAGAAAAGCCCATCAAGAAGCAATTCTGTGCTCTCTTTCTCTCTTGTGAGCTATTCTAGGCATAGATTGTCTTGCCAGTTGCAGTTGGGCTCCATGTAGCTGAAGCTGCTGGTGCATGTTTGTGGCACCAAACCATAGAAGATTTTTGGTGGTTGCTGGAAATTAGATGTTGAGGGTGCTCTGCTTTTCCATGCTGTGCTGGCGAAATAGCTGGGGCCAACTCTGGTGAGCCTGGGCTTTGCTTCCTTGTGTTGACAGGTCCCTGTGCTGTGCTGCACCCTTCAGTTTTCTTGCCTGTGATATTTGACCTAGGCCCTGTATTGGCATTTAAACGCATCAGTAACAGTAAGTTTTTCAAGGTGTGTGCCAAGCAGCCCTTTGAAAACAGGCCTACAGGAAACAGGAACTTTCAGTCAAGAAACAGGCATTTTCTGAGGAACGAGATGTTGTTCAGGACTTGAATCAAAAGCACGCTAGTACACTCCCTGCCGGGACTCACTGTTACCCTTCTGGTTCAGTGCTTGATATAACGAAGCAGTGCTAAAATAGCTTTTTAATCAGTTTAGTAACCCTTTTCCTGAGATGAAGATATTTATATGAGCAAAAATTGCCTCCTCTTTAAAGCTAAATCTACTGGTTCATCTGTTCATTTTCCAGTGAACACAGGTAATGCTAAGCATATGTAATCATTTTAAACCCTAATTATCTGTTCCATATGCCAGAAAATAAATAAATAAATAAAAAGTTATTTATATTGAAGCTTTCTGTTGGAAGAACTGAACATTGCCTTAAAAAAAAAAAAAAGGTGTGAGAAGAGTCTTCTGCTAGATTACTGCTTGGGACTGATAGGTATGTGAATCCTGATTACTTCCCAGTGCTCATTCATTTGTATATTTCAGTATATTAATAGGAGTTATATGATTGTTCGTGTAGGCAGATAAAAACACGTTATTACTTGTATTTAATACAGCATCTTAACATATGCTTGGGTGTTACATCCACTAAAATATTGCTGTGTTACTTTTCCAACATGGAAACGTGTTTTTTTTTTTTATTTTTTTCCTCAAATTGAAGCATTAAAAATTAGGAGCCTAGTTACATTTATGGAATCATGGCTTTGAGGCACTAAAGAAATGTGTCTTTTCATCTCGATGTCCCTGAGACTACAATATGAAAGGGTGTGAAAGAGAGCAAACAGGATTACCAAAAGTATGTCAGTGTCGAGGGCAGCCCGTAGAGCTAGTAATTTCTGAGATAAATTGCTGCTGCTAATGGTTTGCAGCTGCAATAAATTTGTTTTGAAACAGGAACAAATTTTGGTAGACATCCTCAGCTTACAGGTTGATTTTGTGCAATTTGTTCATTCTGTGATTAAGAGGCGCTGAATAATTGAGGCTGAAGATAAAAATCAGGATTTTCTTTCTGTGACAGCAAAGCTATGGGAACACGTCTGAAGTGAGTTTTTTACATTTATTTTTTATGCAATGTTAGTACAATCATTCACACAAGGAAAATTTCATGGGTATTCCCATCTGAACAAATGTAGTCAAAATAAATTAACCTGGATTAAAATGCTCTTAGTGTAGATAAGCCATTCCCATCCAGCAATGATTTCGTAAGATGTCTGTTGGAATTACACAATTCTGAGCATTGAAAATGTTTAACTTCCTTCAGGAAGGCAGTGTACATTTCGTAAAAAAGCAATGATGTACTCAATTCATTCTGTTGAGCAAGCTGAATTTAAGGACTAGAGGTGACTGTCATGTATTTTCCAAAGCTCTCCGGTAAAGGAAAAATCAGTGGCAGAAGCGAACTACAGCTGTGTTCTTCCCTTCCTGCCTTCTCAGGCAGGAGCTGTGCACGTGTAGACAGCTGAAGCCGAACAGCTTGCAGCTCTAGTTATTGTAGCGAGGCGGTAGCTTCTGAGGGGCCTGATGTATTCCTCCCACATGAGGAGTCGTACCCGTGCAGTGACGGGAGAGTTTCCTTCCTCCCATTAGCTCTGTGTCATCAGCCTGCCTTCTTCTGCGACAGTAGGTGGGGTGCGCGAAATACAGCCTAAGGTAATTTGGTTTCTTTTTATGTTCATCTAAGGAGACGTGCACTCACGTGTCTGACAAGCATTTTAAACTTCAAAATGAATAGGCGTGTGCCCTGGGGGAGAACACAAACATCAGCTCTGCTTTTGTGGTCATACCTGCGCCCAGCGACACCGTAGCTCAAGTCAGGCCTGGCTGTCCTTCACCAGGGAAAGAAAACAGTGTTGGTTACATTTCTCCTGCCTCATATTTAACTTATACACTTTTTAAAATATGCAAAGGTGATGGTGAAGTATTTACTTCAGCTTGTTTTTGGGCTAGGATTCGCATGTTTTAAAGTCTAGAGGTAGGACTGTTAGATGAGCTTGTCTTCTCTGACACTGTTCTGGAGGCCTTGTGCGTCCTATGCAGAGCGTGCTGCTGCTCGTTTAGGGCATGCCTTGTGATACTGAACACCTACTGTAAAGAAACTTTAAGAGCATGGTGGTTTTGTTTTATTTTGGGGTGGGATGTTGGGACTGAGCTGTGACAATGCTACTGTTTTCCTGAAGAATTGGTGGCTTCCACTATGATTCCTTCCAGCTGGGGCTGCAGGTGAAAGGCCGGCCTGCTTGGGACTGAGGTGAGGGTTGCAGTTCCCTAAGGTTCTGGCCTTCCTCCACCAGCTGGAGATGCTACATCTGCTGTTGTTTTTTTTTTGGGGGGGGGAGGGGCAAATCATAGGCCCGGGTGTCTCCCTCAGCCTTGCACAGGAGAGAGGAATGAAAGAGCTTCTGGACTGGTGTGTGTATTTTGAATGAAGTTGTACATGGCCTATAACAAAAAGTGCTCCCTGGAAACTTCTTTTAAAAGTATATGCCAGAATTTAGAGCTTAGATTTATTTGGAAAATACAAAAATAACTTGTATCAAGAGGAACAGAGAAAAGGGAAAATCTGGGGAGCTGGAAGAGGAGGCTGGGCTTGGTGCTGCTGCCATGCAGTAGGGATTCACATCCAGGAGAAACTGAAATGGCAAAAAGAGTGCCTCAGCTGCTCCCTGAGGGAGAGCAGGGCCTGGGATCCCAGCTTAGGGCCATCGCTGAAGTTCTCCAAATTGTTGAGAGAGTGCACTTCATTGCAAAGTGGTAAGTTGTTTGACAGTGGTAATTCCTGCATTCTTAGAAATGGAACTGTCTTGTGTCTTTTTCTGCTCTGCTTCTGTATAACAGCCACTTGTGAAGCTATTTATGTGCACTTGCCTTCCACTCTTATGAGCTTTTAGATAGTTTAATTATTTAAGGTATTTTCCTTCTCAAGGAAAGAAAGCAGATGAGAGAATCGAGCTGAGATAAAGAACTAGGTCAACCTCTTCTCCTAGTAACCAAATGAACAACAGCAACCAAAAAATAAAAGGAAATAATATCTGCTGCTGATAATTTCTATCAGTAAATAATTTCTTCTGGTCAGATGCAGTGTCCTGGAACCCATCTGTGGAGCACTGGCATGGAACAGCTTATAATGATACCAGGGATGGGAACTGGACTGTAATTGCTCCATCTATCCTCTAGGAAAATGTCGCCATCTTTCAGGAATGCTGAAATGATTTTTGTGTATGCACATGCAGGCGTACCATTTTATTCACTAAATAGCAAAGTGAAAGACAGCTTACCAAGGCACGGTGGCCTTCTGGAGTTAGATTTGAGATTTGAAACAAGTTAAATGCTTGAAAAGCCATAGACTTCTTATGGAGAGTCTGGACAAATCAATTCAGCATCTTTCACACCTGTGAGACAGATTCAGTACTTAGTTTATTCCAGAAGGATGCTCTGAAGAGAAGCTCACTAGTGTATTTTTGCCCTTCCATAAACAAGTCTGAACAGAAACAAAGTATTTTTATTGCTGCTGTTATTTCTAGTGTTGTTTAAGATTTCCTCCATTGGTAAAGTGTGTGTGAAACAGGTGCATGCATCAATATGCTGTTATGTAGCAAAGGCTCTGTGAATCTGTTTCTCATTCTGAATGGTTTTCTTGTCATGATGAGGTGTCCTGGCTTTGGGAACAGGCAGACTGCACTGCACAGGGTCTGGTTAAGAGTTTAATTTTATGTGGATTGAGTCTTTTGCATGGATTCCTCTGCATTTGAAGGAATTTGGCTAGTGTTTTGGGTTTCAGGGTTTGGGCAGGATTGGCATACATACATACATACACAAATATATTTCATACCAAAAGTCTTCTGTCATGCAGATACCGGGATCAGATTTGACTGTTGTGTCATGCAAGGATAACTTCTTTGTTTTGCTTTTGTACTGGTTTTAAAACTGGGACAGGTCAGTAAATGAATCAAGATGTAAATGTCTAACTTGGCATGTGTCATGTCTGCACAAAACCCAGTAAGTGGTGCGATTCTGTCTTACTTCCTTTCACTCTGTCTTGCAGAGTTCCAAAGTGCTGGCGAAGAAGGAGCTCTCCTACATGCCTATCATTGGCTGGATGTGGTATTTCCTAGAGATAGTCTTCTGCAAGCGTAAGTGGGAGGAGGATCGGAAAACAGTCATGCAGAAGTTGCTGAACCTCCGGGACTACCCTGAAAACTTTTGGGTAAGTGATGACTAATGAGTGTTGTGGGAGGTGTTGTAGTGCTTGGGGGGATGAAGGCGTACGCAAGACGTGATAGTCACCAGGTTGCTCCTGAGCACTTTGATTCATGAACCTCCTGGCAGCATCAGGGGAATATTATCTGAGAGCTGAATTCTCTCTGGAATTTCCTATGTAATTGTCTGCATTGTCTGTTTCCTAACTCTATAGTATGGAGCTCTGTGGATGTTACCTCAGAAATTCCTACACTGCAATTAACTCAGTAATCGTTGCAGTCCTCTGAATGTAGGAGCTGTAGAGGGGTAGATGCAGGTGTTCACGATGGTGTAACAGATCCATGTGACAATATTGTTTTGAAACACATCAGCTGTTTTCTTCTCCTTGCATTTCCCTGTGATTTTGCCATTCCTGTGAAAGTGCTCGGTCAGACATGGCCCAGTAGGAGTGAAAGCTGCAGAGCAGTGTCTGGTCATAGAAGTGGCCCATGTGGGTCATTGGCTATGTCAGAGAGGAGTGGTGTCACCTTTCAGTAACAAGAACGTGTTATTTTTTGCACCACTATTTTTTTTAAAGTGTTGAGTCTGTCCTAGTCTGAAAATGGAAAGCCTTTGAATCTTTTCCTTCCTCAGTAATCAGAAGAATCCTAGTTCTGATGGTGAGAGGGAAATGCTACTTTAAGCAGCCTCACAAGGGCCTACAGAACTGTTTGCTTAAGAGGTGGTTTCCTAGTGTAGGTGTACATGCTGTATCTCTCCTTCTCTGAAACAGAACTTGGTTATTGTTGATTTCAGTGAGGCCTAAGCAATTAAAACTAAGCTCTCTTTGGTTACTGTTTAAATGATTTCGAGGCAGGAGGCTGTCAGCAGATGAGTATTCTTAGTTTCTAATCCCACTTTCTCACAGGGATTTGCCTGTGCTCTGTGACTCTTACAAAACGTTGAATTCCTTTTTGTGAACATAGGCAGTTCAGTGCCAATTGGTAACCACAAATTACCACCATTCTTTATTTACTGCTGTGGAGTATTACTGCAGAGGAGCTATACATATATTGAGAGATCCAGTTGCAGGTGTACAGCTGGATTTATTCCAGTGTGGTGTTTTAATCTGCACTCATTTGTTGACATAATTTCAAAAGGTACAGCAGTAGTTATAAAGTCAGAGCACGGTAGCTGGTTTAGGAGGATTTTCTTACCAGTTTCTGTATGTTTCATCTGACTGTTTAACACTATGCTCCTGGTCTATGAGTAAAAATGCTCTGAGATGGGCTGGATCTGAAGCTGGCTACTTGGACAGTTTTCTTTAGGTTCTCTGTCTTTGTGGGCTAAATTCTTGTTGAGGGTTATTGAGACTTAGCTGATGTTATTTGGTACTGCTCTCTGATGTGATAGTTTGCATTCAGGTCTGGCAGAAAGCAGCTGAGCAAGTGATAAATCTCCAAAGATCTGTGCTCTCCGCTGCCTGCCACTGGCAAAATTGTAATTGTTCATGTCAGAGCAGTTGTGCTGTGTAGCTCATAAGGGACTGAGACCTACTCTTGTCCTGCATCTACTGCCCTACATTTGTTACCAGCTCAGTCTTTGGCATCAACGTTACAGTCTGCTGTTGCTTGTGGTTCTCAAGTTATAGTGAAAGCAGGTGAGCCAACCACGCATTTCCTAGAAATGTGTTCAGTTCAGACACTTTTAGATACTGGAGCACCTCGGCATCAGTAAGAGGTTTGCAATAAGGAGAATGTTTTTTGAGTTTTCTATCTTTTCTTCAGAGATAGAGTGACTTATTCAGAGAAATCAAGTCATTCAGACTTCAGTAGAAGAGCAGATGTTAAAGCCCAAAGCCTAGACTTCAAACCACAGGAGGGCAAGTTGCATGGTTGGCGGCGATTGAGAGTTTTTTGTTTGATATTTTTTATTTTTTAATAGTTCAAGGGTAATTAAATTACCAGCATGTGTATGTGGCTATATCTGTCCTTGCTAGCAGTGTTCATTTGGGCCATACTAATGGGAATTAGAGAGGACTGTGGTCAGGCATATGTAGAAAACCTGAGCTGCTTTCTAACCAAAATTCTCTCTTGTTTTAGTTCCTGATTCATTGTGAGGGTACAAGGTTCACAGAACAGAAGCACCAAATTAGCATGCAAGTGGCTGAAGCCAAAGGCCTGCCCAAGCTCAAATATCACCTACTGCCACGAACGAAAGGATTTGCTGTCACCGTGCAGTGTTTGAGAAATGTAGGTAAGGAAAGTCACAAGGAGCAATGCTAAATGGTTATTTCATGTAACTGCTATCTGTCACTTTGCCTTGCTCTTCTTTTCCCCATAGTGTGTGTCCTAGCAGAAAAGCCCTGGAATTTTTTCTGAGCTTCCTTCTACTGGTCTGTCAAAATTAAAGGTTAGGTTTGACTAGCAAATTAATGGGCAGCTTGATTAATTTCTTATGTTTGCGTCCTTTTCTGTTACTGTATTGGGGGATCCCGAGTTGTAGGTTTCCTACCTCTTCCCAAAGGATATTTTTTCTTAGTATTTACTGTTCTACTAAGAAATCCTGTTCCCAGTGAAGCCAATACATCACTTTATTACTTCAGAGAATCTAAGAAAGTGTCTTAAATGTTTAGTTGTGGTAAATATAAATAACATGTTTTTATCAAAAAATACTCTGCTTTAAATTTCTCTGTAGATGCACTCTAGAGTTTCTTAGTAGCCTTTGCAGAGTAGAGGGCAGTCAACCATTTCTGAAGATATATGTAGGAGAAGTTTATAAATTAATTACAGAATGAGTAATTTTTCCTTGTTAATGTTGTTCTGTACCCCTCACTCTCCTTCTGGTTACCTGAAATAGATTTACCAACTCTAGAGTGCCATCAGTAAGAGCATGGCACTCTAGGCCGTTCCTTTAAAGTGATCTTCTTTGCCTAATAAAATCCAGCTAAGTCTTCTGCTCTGTACTTCATGAACAAAGGAAAGACAGTGCTAAGTAGCTGTAGCGTTACACTTGGGGTTTGGTGGCTTTATGTGCTGTTAGAAGGCTGATACATAAGAACGACAAAGTAGTTAGTGGTTTAGAAGAAAATGTTCTAGCATGACTGAAGTTAATGTCAAAACTCCTTTTTGTCTTTGAAGACATGTTTTCATCTGGCTTATCTGGGGTAGCTGCTGTAAAAAAAAGCTTTGCAGTCAGCTGTCTTGCTGTCTGTCATGTCTCCTCTTTGTATCTTCTCACAAGTCAGATAGATGATATCAGTGTTGTAGCTTGTCAGGCATCAATGATTTCCCACCCCCCAAAATGGACAGCATAGCTTGGACCTCTTCTGACATGTGCAGAAGACGGCAGTTATGTGTAGCATCCAGAGCAGCTCCCTGAAGGGCACAGTTTAACCTTCCCTTTTGAGTGAGGGCGAATGTTTTGCTGAGGAGGAGGGGAGATGGACCTGAGGCACGGAGAAGATCTGAGTCAGAACTCTCTGACCTCCAATGCCCTGAGCTGGGAGCCAGGGACAAGTGATCTTAGTGGTGTTTTTTTCCTTGTCACTACTCAATGTAAAACAAACAAAACATGGTGTGACTGCAGACAAGGAGCTGATTTATGGGGAAGTATTTCAAAAGGAAACAATTCCAGGGATCTCAAGTGCCATTTATAAAAAAGGTGTGGGCATTCATGCGATAAACTACAGTAGCACTTCTTAGGATCCTAAATATTTTGTGTACTTTCAGGAAACTAAAAAGTCTTAGATCCCTAAATTACCTACTTAGGAGAAGTGTTTGTTACTACCTCAAACCAGAGTCAGTCACTTGTTAAACCAAATGGGGTAAGGCTAATAACAAGGTAGTATTTCACTGTGAGGGTTCAAGAAGCACAGTCATAATTTTTCATAGGTAGTTGCTGCTGAAACTGTGTAACTTAAACCCAGTCAAGAGACCTCTGAGGGAAGCAGCTGATGATCCCAGATGAGAATTGCGAGTTCTGTGGGTATGCTGATTCTTAAAGGAATACATCTAATATTTTTAAAAATTGTTCTGATATTTTTATTGGTGATCATCTCTACCAGTTCTGTAGTAACAGACACAGTACCCAGGAACTTCATTTCTAGAGGTTGTGTGCTGTCTTAATAAAGTGCTGTTAGGTTGTAGTGTAGAATTTGCTACTTGTGCTTCTCGTGGAAGCAAATGAAAACATAGATCTGTTTCTAAAATACCTATCCATTACTCTCAGTGCAAACAAATGTCATAAATATTGTAAAAGTTGTATTTAACTGTTATTACTGTTGACTGCTTGTATATCAGACAGTGCCTTTCAGCTGTTTTTATTTAGTTAAGGCGTATATTAAAAAATATAACTCTTGAAGGATTGCAGATAATTCCAAGTTGTCAGCTTCTTCCAATTGTGCATGCATGGAAATTGCTGTCCTAGAGGGAACACAGAAGAACAAATTCCAGAGTGATGTTTTTGTGGAGGTTAATATGTCTGTGTATGGGGGTTTGATTGTTTTTGTTGGTGGTTTTTGTTTTGCTTTCTTTTCTTTTCTTTTTCTCAAGAGCTGAACTTAAGTCCTGGATTTCTTCAGTGTTTAGTGGAGGTCCTAATCCTACCTGAGCAAGCTAGCAATTTTGAGCAGATAAATGATCTTTGGCCAAGGAAATGTTAAAAGATTGTGCCAGAACGGCTGTCATACTGGCAGTACGGTGAATTCCAACTTCTCTTCCCCATGCATCTCCTGAGTCTTCACTTCAGATCATGGTGTGCTAATAGGAAGCTGTATGGAGGCATACTCGGTGCTTGCAGGTTGATTTGTCGGAAGTTTGTGCAGGCATAGTCCACTGTGCCCACAAAATAATGGATGAAATTCAATTCAAGAGGCCAGTTAAAAAATAACAGTAAAACAAACAAACAAACAAAAAAACCCTCTCTAAATGTGTAATTCAGAGACTTCTTAAGCATTAATTAGAGATTAAGAAGACAAATCCTGATTTCTTAAGTATGTAGTTCTTTGTCAGAATTCTATACAGGGAACCAAAAGCAAAGGGTAGAGTTTATTTATGTGTGTAAGTTGTTTGTTTGTTTGTTTTGTTTTTGTCAGAAAATAGTGATTTCAATGGAAAAATGCTTCTTTCACTTGTGATCTGTTCTAAGACTCTGCAAAGACTTCAGAATAATGAATTATCCTTGTTTTTTAATTAAAAAAAAGATGTTTTAAGATATTTTCTCTGAGAAATTTATTATTTCATAATTAAAGCAAAACTTCCGAAGAATTGCCTAAACTAGCCTGAGAACAGTTGGAAGGTTTTGAAGATACCATGAAGGTTTTTTTGTCTTGATTTAAAATGTAAAGTTTCTGGACTCTTAAGCTTTTGGATGAGAAAATCATGAGCTGTCAAGTTCTAATTAAGCACAAATACGTATATAATTGTATGTACATGTATATGCATAAAAATACCTAAAATATATAATATATACAAAATACGTGTTTAATGAAAACCAATGTCAGTATGTCATGCAGTGTACTAGTGCTGCTTTGGCTGTGGAAGCTTTCTGGTAAATTTTCATCCTGTGCAGCCTTTTTCTTTGACACATCCTCCATTGTTCATTTACTGTATTTTCAGAATAGAAAAGCTTAGGTCTTCAGTTACTTTATACCCAAATATAATAGGGGACTATTTACTCCTGCATACATTGTTATCTTGGATTTGGCACTGCTTTGCCAGCAAAAGATTTCAGTGTGATACAAAAAAGAACTAGACTGAACATTCAAACTACAGACCAGTTACAAACTGGAAAGGGATTTGTTTAGCTGGAGTGAAGGAAATCTCTGTGTATGGCCTGTCAGCAGAGAAGATGTTCCTGATCAACACTGCACAAGTGTTTTCAGAACAAGAGAATAATTTTCTAATGTGCCTGAACAAGGACCGAAGTCATCTCAAAATTCAAATGTAGGTGTCTCCTAAAAGACAAAAATAACAAGTGCTGGCCACATCATACTTTCCTTTATGGTTTTCATGTTGTTATTATTCTTTAATAGTTTGGGATTATTCTAAGCTAACAAATTTACCTTGTACAGACCAAATTAAGCTCTTGTCTTCCCTCAATTACATTGGATCAGTAAATTAGAGTGGATTAGTAAAATCCTTATTCACTAAGAAGCTTTAAAATGGAGGTAGGTAATTTATTCAAAAAAATAAATTCTCATTTTTATTGCACAATGAAGGTAATGTGCTGGAAGCAGATTTTGACTTACGATTTGTAGTTTTGAGCTTGAGCTAAAATCCAAACTGTAGTAGAAAAAAATAGACTTATTAGTGAGGAATACAGTCTGTGTGCAGTGACACAGTTCTGTCCTCTATTTTCAGGATTTCTTTGCAGCACCAAATCTGGGCTGTTCTGTTCTAGGCTATGAATTCTGCTTTGCAGTAACAAACTCTGTGGGGGAATTTCTGCTGGGCTGAATGTTGTGACCAAGCCATAACAATCTCACACTGATAAACTTGAAAAATAAACCCAAATCTGTTCTGTGTAATAGAATGCTTCCTTTGGGGGGCCAAAACCTCTCACAATAACAATCCACTGAAGTGTTCGTTATTGCAAAACTCTGGAGCAGAAAATCTGAAGTACAGCAAGCTGCGGGTGAGGCGCTTTAGTCAATTTTGTTACAGTTGCTGCTATTGATTTTAGAATTCATACCATGAGGCACAATCAGTTTCAGTGCCATGAAAATTAATTGCTCTCTGGTAATTTCCTACCATATCAGAAACAGTTTCTTTACAGATACGTTCGAATAACAGATTGGTTTCAGTTATAAGGGACCTTAAACATCATCTAGTTCCAGCGCCTCTGCCATAGACATGTTGGGACTATGAAGCAATCAAAAATGCTTATTTAGCTCCTTGTTCAAAGAATCTGTTACTTCTGAAACCCTTTTTCTGCTTTAAAACAATGAGCACTTTTTTCTGTAGAAACTGTTTGTTGACGCTGTCTAACTAGGAACAACCTTTGCTTGCAAATGCTTTTACTCTTACTGTGCAGTCCTGAACTGACAGTGTTCTCTCCGGGCTGAAAGCTTGGTTGCAGTTTAGTTGTGTGGAACTTAGATGCTGTGTTCATCACAGCTGCATGTCTTCGTAACGGTAGCCCAGCTCACACAGGTGATGGTCTGTTACTCTGTCTCTGCCTTTGCACTATAGCAAATGCCTCAGCTATCCAGGAATGGGCACGAAGGGGAGGTTGTTTCAAACCCTGATTCATGGTTGGGTTAAGCCTTCTGGCTGTAGGATAGGTCTCAGACAAAGTTTACCCATTCTCAGTTAAACTATGTATTGTTTGTTGCTTGTGTAGGTGGTTATTTGACTCCTTATTTAGGCAATCTTCTGCAGGGGGACTGAGTCCCCACTCAGTTGTCTCATTCAGTGAGTTGTAAAAGCTAACAGTTTTGGGCTTCTGGGATTTCCAAGGGTATATAAACTGTCGATACATTCCCAACATTCAGCATCTGTTGTGGAAGGAGACCTGGGTGGAGAGTAAACTCATCCATTCTACTGGTGTAAGTCCTGAAAGGGTCACTGGATGTTTGCCTTCTAATAACCTGTATGTTGAATATACCTTGTCATCTTTACCTTGTTGATAGCTCAGACTGTGGTGCTATTGCTGATGACTCCATATGTAAATATGCTCCTTGTTTGAGAGAGAATGATTGATCTTCCATTCTATTACTACTTCAGTCACATAACCTGTTTTTCTGCTTGTAGTTTCAGCTGTCTATGATTCTACCCTCAATTTCAGAAATAATGAGAATCCGACATTGCTGGGCGTTCTAAATGGAAAGAAGTATCATGCAGATTTATATGTAAGGCAAGTAACCCATATTTTAATTCCTTTCTGGCATACAGCAGCGTGTACTTGCAGTCACACTTGCACAAATAAGGAAATATTTTCAAGGAGGCAATGGATGTAGCAAGTCTCTACCAACCTGCCTTTACAGTACTCTCGATGAGAAACTCATACGAGTTGAGCAAGGTTTCATAAAATTCTGTAACTATAAATACTTGAAGATCTTGTGGAGCTCTACAGATTTTGTTGTAGTTTTTTATTGATCTGTGCGTGTCAGCTCAATCACAACAGTGGAGCCTCGTTTTTAATTCACCTGGCCTCAGTGACCAAACATCTGTGAAGTGTTCAGACGGGGTTCCTTGACTCCTGGCTCTGGCACAGTGATTTTTACCGAGGTGGAAGCCAGGCTCAGGACTTTCTTTTTACCTCCCCTTTTCTGTCTGTTTTCAAAGTATTTTATTGAGAGCTTAAATCAGAAATACTACCTGAGAAATTCTAGATGTGCTGTGTCCTAGTTATGAGAATACTTTGTTGTTTTTTTCTCTGATGCCTAGCTGATTAAACACAGCCTCGAGCTCCGTATGTGAGGTAGGAAATCAGTTCTTTCAAAATCTTTCTTTAGAAATAGAAAATTTCAAACCTTTGGCTAGAAAGTGGTTCTAGTGGGCTCTAAATAGAATGTGTTACTGTTTCAGAAATCTAAATCTTGAGTCTCAGCTGCATATGAAAGCTGAAGGTAGATCTAGAAGCAAACTGTACTTTGCTGATCTGGGAACTGTTACCACAGATTATTAAATAAATAAACAAAAGAGCGGTGGGGGGAGTACAGTGAATCTCCTGTCAGATGGATGATCTGTCTCTGTAATGCAAATGCTGTTCATCAGAGCAGAACTATTTAATATTCTTCAATTTCTCTTTGTTTACCATTGGCAGACGGATTCCATTAGAGGAAGTCCCAGAAGATGAACAGGAGTGTTCTAATTGGCTCCACAAACTCTACCAAGAAAAGGTTAGTTTTTTGTCCAGACAAAGCTCATGAGCCACTGGTGCTCGGTTATTTATACTCCTTGTAGACCTTTACAGTGTGCGTGTGAAGTGGTTGCGCTTTGGGGTTTTGTGGTTTTTGTTTTTCGGAACAAGTGCTCTGTTTCTCCAGATGCAAAGTGGTCTTGCATTGTCAGTCATGGTTACCTTTATTTGTACTTAAAGAGCAACAGGTAAAAAAATAGGCAAACCTCAGTGAGAGAGCAGTTTTAAAGTGTTCTTCAGAAAGTTGTGTAAATTTACAAAATATGCAACTGCCTGTTTGGTAGTAGAACCTTCTTCCCGTTAGAGTCACCTCCTAAATCAAGAATTAATTCTTGGGCTAAATGAGGTATATTTTGATTTAGTGCATTAAAACTTGTGTCCCTTGTTTTAGCCTGTCTCTTTTACCAAGGCAAATATCCAACATTAACAGGACAAGCTGATAAATTACTTTCACATTGTGTGCACAAAGGGTGTGCGTTCAAGATTCCTAACTACAGAGCACAGGGGCAGAATAAGGACAACTTGTAGACGGAGTGTGCTTGTAGAAAGGTGATGATTTTTTTTTCCAACTACTTGCATATGCATCCTTCAGATTTTCAGAATCTGTTTCTTGTGGTTTTTGTTTTTATGGAGAGATAATGGTTGGGGATGTGCTCTTTGCATACACAAATCCCATTTCAGTCAGTGGGAGTCATAGGTGTACAAAGGCATGGTGATCTAAATTAGGTTATTTAGATTGGAATACAGCAATGTTTAAGATTTAGAAATAATGGCCTATAGCTATCATTTCTAAATTAGCCCATAGCTAAGTTCTGTTTTCCTCTCACTAGTGCAGCGAAATCTGTTATGTGGTTTGTTGTACTCAACCCAGAACACCACATTAGCATGTCTCTACAGTCTACGCTCTAGTCTTTCTCAGCTTCAAACCATGACTGCTTCTGGTTTAATTCAGCACCTCCGATCCTCCCTCCTTGTAAGTTGTGCTGCTGACATCTAATGCAGGCACTACCCCGGCGCACTTCTGCAGAGCGGCATTGTGGTAGCTATGTGCCCGTGCTCTCTCCACAGGAAGATAAATGCACACGGTCCTTTTGGTGAATGTTGCAAAAGTCCATTTCCTGGTACTATGCCTTTATTTCTAACCCTGTTCCGTGTTGCTAAGATAATGTTTAGACATTTGCAGGACAAGTACATAAATTAAATGAGTATGTGGTGATTGTTTTCCTGAATCCTTTATTACATCCTTTGCCGTAATTCACTTAGTTTTCTGTTATTCTCTCTTTGGCAAACACTCAGTTATTTCTCTTGCAAACAGTGTGAGCATCTATCCTGCTTTCTTTTAACAGCTTAGCTTGCTGTTAGTTTCCCATTTAAGTACAGGAGGAAGGCAAGTTTGTTCAGTTTTCATTTCCATTAAAAGCTTTTTGGTATTGTGGGATTTTTTTTTTCCTTTCTTTTCTTTCCTCTTTTTTTCCCTTTCCCTTTCTTCTTTTTTCTCCTTTTCTTCTTTTCCTCTTTTCTACTTTTCTTTCTTCTTTTTTCTTCTTTCTTTTTTTTTTTTTGGTTTGTTTTTTGTTTGGAAGATGATATGTTGCTCTTTCTTGAGCTGTTTTATGTTATTTCATTGCAGTCATTCCTGGTTTACACAAGCCCATATCTCTGTAAAATCAGACTGTTTAGGAGAATACAGAGCAGGGATAAGTTGATAAAGAGTTCTGAGATAATGAAAGTTCACGTGCAGAGTAAAAATTCAATTTCTGTTTCACCTTTCTGCCATATTTCTTTTAGATAATTACCTCTTAGGTGGGATGACAAGCAACATTGCTGTCTGAGTGTTGCTTCTAAAAGTGAATCCTGTTTCTCTTCCAAAAGTGAATTTTGTTTCAGGCTTATGTCTCCAGAGTCAGTAAATATTTATGATGAAAAGTAACAAAGTTATATTAAAAGGACAGTAATTCATTGCAGGATATGCATTCATCAGCTGCTTTGTCTATTTTGGTTGTAGCACTCCACTTTCTGTTTCAAAATAAGACAAGGTATGCATGCTACTGAAAAACAGGTTCCCTGTTTTATCTTGCATCATGGTTGCATGTGCTGTTGCTTGTTCTCAGCGATATTCATAATTTTCGCAATACCCTCTCTAGCCTTAAAAGGCAGGGAGAGAGCATGCAGCATCTCTGGGTTGATTCAGGGCAGCCTGAGCTTTTTCTGTACTGTGCACTGGCTGCCAGCTCTGGGACACCTTCACAGATGAATCGTGCGCTCTCTGCAGAGTTGTGTGGCAGACATTGGCCCCGTGAACTGCCTCGCCTTATGCAGGTGTGCTCAGAGGCATTCATCAGCTGTGAGGCTCCAAGAGCTACCAGTAATTGCTGCCCTGTCTTTTTTGCAAGGCCATGGTAATAAAAAGGGTGGGCAGATGCAGGGTTTTTCTGCAAGCTGTGAATCAAACAGCTCTAGCTAAATGTGAAAAATGCAGTCCTGAAGGGTCCTGCTCTCCCCAAAGCATGACAGTGTATATTTGCTTTTAGCATCTGAGTGTGGGGTCGAGTTAATGGTAAGCTCCTCCATCCTTCCCCTTCTTACTTAGCAGGGCTGCATTAGTTTCTAGGAGCATAATTTAGTGTATGGGACATGCCATAGGTGCTGAGGTCAAGGCTGGAGTGCTGGGCACTCATGATCATCAGGAACACAGAGTTGTTTGAATGAGTAATGAGATCTGCTGTTAGTGGACATCAAGGGACGTGACCTTTCTAAATTATCTTTAGTAGAGGAGTCAGAGTCTTTGCGAAAAGCTTGTGTTGTCTATTTTTACTCCATTGCCTGGTCTCAGTTACGTGTTCCTCAATGAGATGCTGCTGTCTGGAAATCTGGCTTGTTCATGTTCTTGCTACTTATCACCCCGTTTCCTGGTTTAGCCCCTGCTGCGGATGCAATGAAGAGGGCCTTTCCAGATGAGCAGTGGCACCCTGCTATTATAAACCAAGGGCTGTTCTTCTTCCTGTTCCAGGCTTATGTGGGCACCATGTCCTTGCATTTCTCTTCTTCCTTACCTGGGGTGATTTTTTTCCTTTCAGAGGTGATCAGCACTGGATCAGTTAATGCCAAGTCCTGACAGAAGTACAACTTGGGCTGCTAATTGCCTTTTCCTTTTAAACTGCCACTGCTAGAAAGATGACGTGCAGCAGATGGGGCACGTTATTGCCCAGTCTGAAAAAATACTGTACAACAGTCACAACTCTGTTAGTCCTTGCTTGTTGTTTTGTGTTTTTTTCTTTCCACCTCTTCACAGCCTCAGCTCCTGAAATAGAAGTTCTGCTTGAGCATCTTAATTTCCATTAAAAAGAAAGTGAGTTTCTGATTCTTCTCGCTTGTAAGAGAAGGATGGAAAACAGGGCATGAAAATATATGCCAGAATGCCCCAGGGACTTAGCAAAGGATAACTGAAGAGGGAAAGTGTGCAGAACTCCAGTGTTTGGGAACAAAGAATATATTTTTGGATACTCATTCTTTGTGAGTTTCTTCATGAAAGAGCAGTGGCATCCCTCTGCAGTCAGATCTTCCTGGTGGGAGCAGGAGGGAAGACTCCAGTTAGATTCTCACAAGAGGATGGATGTTCCCTGGTTTCCTGTCACTGCATTACTCACGCCTGTGCCTGAAGTAACTCAGATTTGGTGGGGTTGTTAGGGGCAGCATGCTTCCACATCTAAAAATGATACTTGAGTGGGTGAAACTTACTACAAACAGAAAACAAGCTCTGCATGCAGAGAATGAAAAGAGCTTCTTTAGGGGGAGGTGGTTGGGGGGAATGTTGATGTGCATCATAGGTTTAAATACTGACTTGAGCTGTCTATGGGTACTGTAGGCACCCTCTAAAAGCTTAGAAGACAGATCAACCCACAAATCTCTTCTGTGAGGAATATGTATGCTTCTAAGGGCAAGGAATGGTAATTGAATTGAGGAGCTGTTCCCCATAATGGTGTAAAATGTGTAGCAGAGGTGAAGACAGTGACATCCTTTTGCCCATTATTTATTTCTTCCATCTGTCTCAAACCTCTTGGTGAGATGTGGTCAGCGGTTTTTCTGACCCTTTTGCTGTGCAGAGCCAGCAAGGGGAAAAATAACTGCTTGTTTTAAGTCTGTCTGTCTAGCTTCTGTAGCAATAGGCCCCCTAATGGTGGTACCAGTAACAGACAGAAATTCTTAGTATTTTTCTGGGAGATGCTGGTATTTAGGAACCTAACTGTATATAGGAGAATTCAATTTACTGATGGTTAGTTAGTTAGCTCTGTGTTAAACCAGTCATAAACCAAAATTCTCAAGGCACTGTAAAGAAAACTTCATACATTGTGTAATTTGCTGAAGATAGCAAATTAATTGGCCATAATGATCCCGGGACAATCTAGTTCACATGAGCAAAACAGTCATAATTTTTCTAATCTCACTAAGGAGAGAGCAATTCTTTAATTACTGTGTAATCTCTTAAAAGTTAAATGCTCCCTTTGAATTAGATAAAATGGTAGCAGCCTGTAATTGCTCAAATTGCCATTAAATAATTAAAGAATTGTCCGTGTTAGCTGGAGTGTAAGTAAATGTAAAATCATAGCATAGTAGAACTAATCTCCTTGTGGTTGATGAGGACAATCTTGGCTTTGCCGGAATTTTGGAAGCCGTCATGAAGCATTCCTTTCTTTGAAGAAATTCAGCCCTTAGTTCTGACTCAACTGAGGTTCCTTTTTATGTCAGTTTAATTCTGACTCTGTTAATTAACCAGTTTTATGTGCTAATCAGGTTAATAGTCTTTGCTTTGGAACCAGAAGGAAGGCGTTTTTCCCCACCAGCCTGACACCTTGGGTTGATCACATTGTTAAAGGCAATACTGTTCACCCATGTAAACTTCAGAGCAAGGTACTGAACTCTAATCCTTCTGTGCTTTAAAAACCGAAACGAAAGAAAAACCAAACTTCTTCTCCCCCCCTCTCCCCACAAACCCACAAAGCAAACAAAAAACCACCCCACCGTCATCCTCTTATTCTACTGAACGAGAGAGCCCTTTGAACAAAAATAGTGGGAGACTCTTTAAACTATTTGTGTGCTCAGCTGTCTGTAGAGGGGTTAGCCGCCCTTTCCTCCACAGGCTGCATGGGAGGGAACAAGGTAAGCAAGACTACATCTGCAGGACAAAGTGGACAGGAGGGTGGAGGTGTTCTTTGGAGTATATAGCACAAGATGGTGTCTGTTCACCTTTTCTGATAGGGCTGTGGATGCTGTTTTAGAGCAGTGCTTGGAGAAGACATTAGGGAGCAGAGGATCTGTTACTGCAGTAGTAGCCCAAACACTTCCCTGGCTTGCCAGCACTATTTGTGTGAAGGCTGTGGCTCTTGCAGGAGGTGCAACAGTGATATTTACATTACTGCAAGAGTGTGCATACCCTCACCCATTGGGTGAGGTTGTTATGGGTTTGTTAAACACTCTAGGCATGCCATTTTTCAGGCGTCTATGTGCAGGAGAAAGAAAGGATGCACACATCAATGTAAGCTCTCTTTTTTTGAGTATGTGCTCATTGACTTCAAAGAACAAGCTTTCCAGCCATGACTCGGTCTTTGATCTTCCCTCAGGGTTACAAGCATGTAGGAAGAGAAACATCAAAGTCAGGAATGGCTAGTTTCATTGGCAGATGGGAATTTAATTGTTGCCCTCCTTTGTTCTACCAGGACGCATTCCAGGAAGAGTACTACCGAACAGGAACCTACCCGGCAGTCCCTATAGTGCCACCCCGACGACCATGGACGCTTTTGAACTGGCTTTTCTGGGCCTTATTGCTGCTATATCCTTTATTCAAGCTGCTCATCAACATGTTCAACAGTGGATCATCACTGACACTGGCTAGCTTTGGATTTGTCATTGTAATGGGTAAGTTTTCTCCAACAGAAAGTTCACTTGAAGCATAACTGTTTGACTTGACTTACTGAGCCTTACTAAATACAACTTCTATGATGGGAATATATGACATATGAACTCAGCTGGCCACCTGATACCCACTTGAGCCTGGAACAGGTGAGGCAGTGGTAGTTGTGAGTAGTTGTGAGCTGTCTTGGTTTGTGGTTAAAGTGGTTAAGTTATTTAAAAGGAGGAAGGGAAACAAAACAAGGAGTTGGCCCAAAGGAGATCTTGGATGGTATCGTTCATGGAAGGAAGAACCAGGCTAGTTTTACAGACTAGATCAAATCTGTTTTCTGTACTTTTTGGCATATTGACTGCAGGTCGGTTGAACAGGTGTCCATCCAGAATAATCCACACATTTATAAAGCAAGTATCTCATGTGGCTGCACCATCTCATGTGTGGCTTCATCACTTTAATATCTGAGTATATTACAAGTATCCTTAAAGAAAGAAATAAAACTTCATAAAAGTGGACGGACTGAGTTATGACACGTCTGCAAATGCAACTGGCAATAGCACTTAAGACCTTATTGTCTACCTTTGGAAGAAATATTGGTGTAGTCTGTTTTGGTACAGGGCTGTGGAGCCGTGGTCTAATGAGACACTGAAGCTCAGCTGTTGCAACATTTTTTAATTCATCATCATTCATCCAAATCTTTTGGCATTTTCTTCTTAATTTAGCTTCTCCACTCAGTGTACTGGTTGTTCATATGCCCTTCCAAGGTGCCTTATGCCTTGCATACTCTCTACAGGGAGCCTCAGTGCATAATTCAGGGTTTTGGATTTTAATTTCAAGGCTAGATGCTTTAATGTTTGGTATTGTCACATGTGATGTTTCTAGATTTAGTCCTTATAGTCCAGCACAGTCGAGTGACCACCCCACTCCCCGAAGTCATCTAGTATCGTCTTAACATTAGTGGTCTTTACAAGTAAGTCATGTCTGCTTCTTTATCAGGAAGGAAAGAACCTGTAACAAAAAAAAAAAAAAGCTACTAAGAATGGACAGCTAAACCTTTTTTGTTTGGTTGGCTTTTTTTCTGTTTTACTCCCCACTTGGCTTTCCTCTGCTTCTGGCCACAAGGCAAGATTAGCAAGCAAGCTGCTGTGAGTCCTGGTTTGAATGCAGTGATAATCCAAAGGACTTGTTCTCAGGTTATTCATGATGCTGGAGCTAACAGCAAACTACAGCAGCAGTGTGCTGCCAGAACGATTGCCTGAGCTCCCAGACAGCAAAAGCACAGCTGAGGAACACATTAAGAACAGTGAGATTAACAGTCTACTATGTGATGTGCATTGATACCCCATACATATCAGCCACGTTTGTGGCATGCTGCAGGTTGCAGTCCTCTGCAGGGATTTGAAAGACCCCTGTGCTTAGCAACAGCTCTGGTTTCTCTTTGAATATGTGGTGTGATCATACTCAAAGTGCTTGTAATTGGCCAGGATTTGCAGCGTGGCAGAAGACACTGTATCGCCTGTAGCAGAGGGTATCATCTGATTAGACGCAGCCAGCCACCTCTTGCTGGTGAGCTGGCAAAAAAAGAAAGGTGATGTCACTTATTAGCAGAGAGCCTCCGTGGAGCTGTGAGAGAATGTGTGGGAGGGGAAGGGAAGCTCAGGCTCCGAAAAAAAAAACAGCAGATCTGGGTTACCCTGGTCACTTGAAGGTGGATGCATCATTACTCACTAAAAGGACAACAGTTTCCTTACTATACCCCTTTGAAAGCATGGTTATTGCTAGTTGGGAGTTTTTGGTCTCACTCTGTGGAAGCATCTAGCTTCAGCCCAGGCAGTTACATTGACTTTTGTAGCCAGTAACTGTTTCTGTAGTAGGGCCATTCTCCCCAAACCCTGCTTTTTATCCCGAGGGTCTCTCTGTCATGAGTGTCCTGGATGTGATGCAACGATTTTCTGACAGAGGAGCAACCAGAATTTCATTTTGCAGTTCTCCAGCTTTAGGCAAGGTCTCAGGAATGACTTCTGCAGTGGCTAGGAGGTAGCAGTAGAGGACCACAAACGTACCTCGGAGGTAGTGACTCCTGGTGCCGGCTGCAGTTTGCAGTGCTGCAGGGAGGGCTCTATTTGCTGTCTTCTCCAGTGTGAGCGGTGAGCTGGTACCTGCTGGTTTAACAGCACAAAGTAAACTTCTTCCTGTGAATCAGGGCGGTGTATTACCCGTTGTGATCAGATGATAAAACCACCTTTTCGCATCGCTCCTAGGACACCCTTTCCGTCTGTTGATTAACTGGAGAAGCTCCAGTAGCATTTGGAGTGATTAGTTGTACATGTGCTAGTCTGACAGCTCACCTGAACCAGGAAGCTTAACTGTGGTCCCTCATAGCCCATTATAGGTAGGCTTCACTGCTTCAAAGGGCAGGCTTCAGTACCTGATAGCATTACCTTCGTTATGCATATATTGTGCTTTTTGCACCTGTACTAAATATTCTGTGATAGGGAAGAAAGGAGGGACTAGGAGGCCCTATTACCTGATATCCTCTGCTTTGTTTCCAGAGTGTTATTTGTCTTTTGGACAGTCTCATTTAATGTTGCTCTCCAGTAAAATGCTTACTAGATGGTAAGTGGCTGTTGAGGTGGAACGATCCGTAAGAGAAATGCCCCGTATAGGTCAAGCTGGAGTGAAAGCATGGTAATACCTCAGGACCTAACTCTCAGGTCCAAGGAATGAATAACCAACATATATATAGTTCTGCTGCTTCAGCTCAAACACTTCCAGCCCTAAATAAACAATGTCTCCTCTTTATACTGAGAATGCTGAGCCATCCCCTTTTGCCTTGCTGTGCAGCAGTTTGGCTATTTATACTCATAATAATCATTGTATTGTGCTAATATCTAACTGCTGGTCTGGGACCAGGAGTCCTTTGTTATGCTATTTGAACTGACACAAGGCAGTCCCTGCTCCAGAGGGTGAATGCTCAAGCAGTTTGAAGGACAAAAGACCCTTTTGAAAACTAGCTTTAGTTTCATAGGACACAAGGCAAGATGTTTATGTACTTAATTCACAACTTTTGTTCAAAACTTGGGGCCGATATTTCAGTGTTAAAGCAGAGAGTCTGTCAAATATCTGTAAGGTGTATTTGACAGCAGCTTCCTTTTCTTCCTTCCTCTTCCTGCTTCTCTAATCTCATTTGGCTCCAAAGCACCCCGCATTAGGTCACCTTTCATGTTTTGGTAACTTGTGCTGAGGAGAACAACCTTTATGCTCCAGAAGTATTTTATTACAGAGCCTTCATCAGTTCCACGTGCTGAAGATGAGAGAGTTTCTCTTGGCTTGTAAATGGAGAAGTAGCTCTTACGTGTCTAATGCTAAAAGCATAATGGCATCTCCACTTATGGCACGGGTCCAGCAGTTAATTAGCATTTATAGACAGGAGAAGTATTTCATTTGAAACAAGCACAAGTAGCAGTGAGCCAGCTTTGATTCTGCAGGAGCTGTCATGTATCTGCTAGACAGTGTGTGGACAGTGCTATAGAAATCCTGCTTCCACGGATCACAAACAGGTGACCTGACAGTGTCCGAGTGCAGAATGTGGACCAAAGGGTCAGAGCATGATATGGTGTGGGCAGCAAAGCTGTTGATGCCCGTAGGATGAGATGAGTGGACAGTGAGGAGAGGATGAGCCCACAGCATTACAGGAAGTGTTACAACAGCAGGAGGATACAGACCATGTGTGGGATTCTGCCTGCCTTGGTCCTACTTGTTGGTGGAGCTGCCAGACAATCTGGCCTTTGAGCCTGGTGTCTAAAACTGATCTTTTTATTGCGTTGTTGTTACTTGTTTCATTTCCTTTATGCTACATAAGATAGACCTCAAATGGAAATTTCTACCATTAGTAAAAGTCTTATTTGTACAAATTTTCATTTCAGTGTATAACCTACAAAACTCAAGTGTATAGCAGAATATAGATGGGAAATTTCTATACCCTTACCTTGTGGGTCGCTTACAGCATTTGCTGTGTGGTGCAAATACCAGGAAAGAGATGAGAGCAAATCCTGAGGTGTAAGAGAAAAGGGGGAAATCCTCTGCTCTCAGCTGATGTTTATGCTGGGGGATGTGGTACTTCTTCATGTGTGGGTGGTGGTTTTCTTGGAGCTAAAATGTGTTCAAGAAACAGATTCCATTGCTGGCTCTCTTGGTTTGTGTTAATTCAACCCTCCTTCAGCCCCCAGTGCTCTGGCAGGGAGAGCAGGTCTGTAGTGGTATCCTGTGTAAGTTGGCTGGTGGATAATGATGGGCAGAAAGGTGGCAGGAGCTCAGTTACCTGCCGTAGCTTGCCATGGAGCACTGTGAGGAAGCCCTGGCTGATAGCTTCTCTCTCCTGCTGTTCAGGACAGGGCTTAAACTCTCACAGCTGATGGTTAGATGTTAACTACTTCCTTGTAGTAAAAAATAATTATAGTAATAAAGTAAAAAAAAAAAAAATTCTCTTACCATAGTTGTAGTTAAAATAACAGCAGAATAAGTCTTTAAACATGATGGTACTGCTGGAGTGTACACTAAGGTAAGAATAGTTTGGAGGCGGGTGGCCCATGCTAATGCTATTTGCCAGCTTCCCTTTAACACAGCACAGTAGAATAAAGAAATCTGTAGCTCTGCCACTTCTGCCTCCCTTATAGTCCTTCCCTTCATTTGCAGTTCTGATTGGGCTGAACGGGGCCCGTGTGCTATGAGAAATTGTCCTCATGTATGCTGCAACATCAAACTCTGTGTGGGGAATACAGTGCTCTGATAGTTACAGTGCTGCAGAAGAGGTTTTGCCCAAATTGCTGGAGTGTTTTTTGTTTTTCAGTCCTCATATGTGGTGCTCACTGTAGTCACAAAACCAGTTTGGAACTATAGGATCTGCCAAGGTTTGGCAGACATTGATGAGAGCATTCCGTCTGCAAGCAGTAATTTAAAACAAATGGGAAGAGCTCACCCTGTGATGTTTGATGAGGTGTTTAAAAAAATGTAGAAAAGCTTTTGTTTCCAAGTTTGGACCTCTACAGCCATATTCATACTGTGGAGTGCCAAGGCTTTCTGTGCGCTTCGAAAATCTTGCTTTCATATTATATTTGGGGAAAAGTTTGTAAGTTTTAGAGGGAACAAAGAAGTGGCCTTTTCAGATAAAAGTGGCAAAATCACTGGTCTCTTACCATCCATTTATTCCAGATGGTGACAGATCAGACTAAGAAATTAGTTGAAAAGTCAGTCAGTTTTATGCCTTGGGCTGGAAATCCACAGCTGTTTAATTAAATAGAAGTTAGCCAGCCTGCTTCTCAACTTACAAGGTATAGACTCTAATTTTCCATAGAAATTCTTCATCCTGTTTACCTAACCCTAGAAACATGTAGGTCTCAGCATAACCTTGACAGTGACAGTGAAATTAGTAATGGACCTGTTGTGTTTGTTGCCCAAATCCACTTGAATGATGCACTCGTGGCACTTGCCATGTTCTGTATGTGTATCTAGCACCCCTCATAACTCCTTGAGCCAAACCTTGCCTTTAGAGATGGTATTCATGTCCAGAAAGGTGACTTTGCCTGTTGAGAGCCCCTCTTGTCGTGTCTACTTAAATGGGTGTTTCAAGCCTTGACGCTGCCTTTGAGCTGAGCAGAGGCATGGTGCTGACAGAGCAGTCTTTGCACAAAACCTTTTACTGGGTTTAGCTGCTATATCCAGGGAGAGGAGGCTGGTATTGTGCTCTTTGGGGATTGAAGAGGCCTCCTCACAGTGTGCTACCATCCCATGTCTGAAGAGCAGTTCTGGTGCTGCTGTTTCTGAGGCCGGGCAGCTCCGTGGCGCCCACCTCCAACACCTGCTGTGTGGTGTTGGCTGTTCCTCAGCCACAGCTCTGATTTCACCCTCTTTCTGAAGCATGACCCAGCTTTGAACCCAGCCCTTCTTACCTTCCCCGTAATTAGCCAGATCCCTGGTGGGGGTGTGTTCCTGGGGGAGAGCCAGCAGCTGAGGGGAGGTCAGCAGGGTGTGCCCGGGGGAGGTCAGCTCCAGGAGAGGTGAGGAGAGGCCCCTGGGCCACCCCAGCCCTTCTCCCCCGCTGTGTCCACAGGCTTGGCCCCCAGGGGCAGCTTCTGTCAGGGAGCAGGGGAGGAGGAACAAAACCTGAGCTGCTGACTGAAGTATTTTTTGGTGTCCAGGCAGCGGCATTCCTGGCACCGTACGAAATCCCCGCAGCACTGTGTGGTTGCTATAACAGTTGCTCTTATTTATGCTCCGCGTCCCTCTCCAGATGCAGTTTATATCCCTCTGGTTCAAGTCTTAGTGCGTTCATGCTTACTGCTCCGCTGGGATCCCAGGCTGCAGGCTGTGTGTTGGGTCCCCCTTTTGTCTTCCCTAGCTCATGGCCTTTTAAACGTCAAAGATATTTTTCTTCTTTCTGTTTGTGAGCAAAACCCTTCACTGGTCCCAGCTGTTTGCGTTTCCATTCACGGACTAGCAGTGGATTGTAAGTTTCAGTGAACTTGCTGGCAGCTTTCTCTGTGCTGTACCCTGCGCAGACAGTTGCCTGCGAGAGGCCGTGTTTCTCTGGTGTCCGGGCAGAGCACAAGTCTGTAGTTGAGTGCTCCTGCTTTGAAAGAACAACGCCGGGTGCCTTACACCCAAGCAAATGGCAGAAGACAGAATAGTTGGGGGGGAGGTGACCTCTGGAGATGGTCTTGTCCAGCCCAACTGAGAGCAGGGTGAGGATAGGTCAAGACTTGGGCCAGCGACCTGCTGTAGTGAAGTGACTGTGGGCAGTTATTGACAAGGGGGAGTGCAAGTGCACCTCTTACCAAAGGTAAAAAGTACTTTAACGCTCTAATAGTGTAAAGCAGAGAATGCTGTTTGTCTCCTGCAGAACACTGTGCATGTACAGACCTCGAATCCCTGTCTGCAAGCAGTCTATTAACTCATTTTATTTTTATTTTGCAGCTTCTGTTGGTGTCAGATGGATGATAGGTGTTACAGAAATTAACAAGGGCTCCACCTATGGCAACAATGACATCAAGCAGAAACGAAAGTAGTAACTTCAGAGACTGCTTCAATCCAAAGGGAACAAATGCAACTTCTGAGAACTCTTCAGTGCATATCACGGTCCTTCAAGTGAGGTCAGAGGAAGGGTAGGATGAGCAATTGCCATGCATATCTGAATTTGTGCTCCTGTTATTTTTCTCTTGGGGTTTGGGCTGGATTACATGCTTGAAAGATGCACTCCTTTGTGTGTACTCTCAACAGGTTTGCATTTGTTTGGTTGGTTTGCTTTCATATAAAGTGTCTTAAGTTTTGAAGAAAAAAATTTGCAGCGTGCTGGTCTGGTAAGACTCTACCTGGAAACTAATCAGTGGTTGCTGAGGTGCAGGCTTTATCTTAACTTGATCTAAGGAATGGGTAAATGTCAGAAGATTGGTTTAAGACAATTGAAACTGATAGGTGTCTAGCTCACGTGTTAACAGTTTAAAAACAGTAATCTCTCAGTGTTCAAATAGAGTAAGATGCGCTGCTTGGTGATACCAATCTTGCAACTCTACTGAACTGGCAGGAGTGCAGTAGAGTTTTTTGACATCTAGAATTTATTCCCACAGTAAGCACCACATTTGAAACTTCAGTCGGGCTCTGGCAAGGGGCCCGTTTTGTTAGCCCAGAGCCTTGCAGCGGCATAACCTGGTGTGGAATTTGGCCATGAGTAGAGCTAAGTTACGCACTGCCACATCTTTCCCCAGGCAAAACGTTAGTGGGATAGCTGAAACCTGTAATTCTTTTGAGAATAAATGCCATTTATAGCTCAGAAAAGAATAGGTAACAGATTACTTTCAGCTTTAAACACAGATTACAGTTCTAGGCATTCCTAACAGTGGCGGAAACAGAAAACAACCGGTATGCTGTAACACAGTAATGCAAAGCGTGCATTAAAAGTTACCACCCCACACCCATACTGTTGTGAACCTAATTACTCTGCCTGTCTGTCTTTTCTGAAAAACTACTTCACATGGTGGTACCTCGTAACATTGTCTGAGGTAATACTTAAATTATCTTTTGCTTTTCTTTTGGGGAAAAGAGGCAAGCAGGAGAGAGACCTAGGACAGCGCTATGGCTGGGAATTTTTTATGCCTGTCTGGACTTGCTTTGTCACCCTTCTGAATTAAAATACGATCAAATCCCTTGGGAAAACTGTGTTGCTCTCACATCCCTAGTACTGATTCCTGGGCATCCCCCTCTTGTTCACAGACTTCAAGAATTAAGAATATGTAAGTAAATTACTGAAAAGAGGTGTTTGTTTTGTTCTGTTTTATTTTTAAAGAAAAGAAAAAGAGGTGACTTCTATCAGCAGTTCAGGGGAAAAAAATTAAAACCAAAAGATACTGATATTGAGCAGTTAGGAATATTTTTGGCACTTTCAGTGATGTTAGGTTTTCATTGCACATAGAACTAAACCATGCTAAGTCTAGGCATGAACACCCTATGTGTTTCTAGAAAAGACAGTCAGCAGTCTTACAGTAGCAGTTCTAGCAGCTGGTAAAGAAAAAAAAAAAAAGACATTTCTCTTATGCTGTAATAAAACTGAAGCCAGAGGTAACAGAGGCCAGTACAACAGTGTGAATCATTGCATGAAATATGCATTTGCTGTTCTGTAGCTCATCTAGAAACTAATCCTTTTAATATGCAGTATCTAAAGAGCAGGTGGAGTAGTGCTTTTAGCATGTCTTCTGAGGGTGGAAGCAGTTAGTAAAAAGTACAATATAAAGGAAGGAATAGGCATGGGGGCTTGTGATGGTCTAGTTTTAGGGGGGGGTTGTCTTGTGTGTACCTGAATTCCCTGTGCAATGAAGTGTTCTGGAATAAGTTGTGTGATGTGTCATAAAAATAACCACAGGCTTTGGTTTATTTTTTTTAAGACATGAAATACAGCCAGAGCCCACAGGATACTGTCATGCTTATAAAGCTATTCCCTGAATAAAGCACATGCCCTTCTGTGCTGAAGTGCTTCCCCTCACCTGTATTGGCTAAAACCATCTTAACTGTGGAAAACAGATTTATAACATGTAGTAGCGTAACATCTACAGTAATGCGTCAGGCATGTAAATGAACCAGCCTACACAGTTCTTGGAAATGGGAGGGGATGGCAGAGAGATCTCTTCAAGCTAGCATTTTACTGTAAACCTTACCTGGCAGATGAAGTGAGCTTTTGTCGGGGTGGTAGAATGAACGCTATACGCAGGTGTGAGTAGTTTTGAGCAGCAAATACATACTCATGTGATGAAGACTGACTTTTTTTTTTTTTTGAAGACTGAACATGCCAGTAGGGAGACATTTAACATTCCTTATGAGTCGTAGTCCTTCTCTAATTGCATGCAGTACCACTTCTCCAAGAGGAAAATACCAAACCCGTAAATACTTCTGAATGAGCATTTAGCTATTTCCTACCAATTTCCCTGGGAGCAACCACTGTAAAAGGCATAGGGCCAAAGACGCCAGTCCTGGATCCTTCTAGAAGTCCCGGTGCACAAGAGCTGCAACACTGGGCCCTTCCAGTGTTCCCTGGCCAACAGAGAAAGCGCAATGGTACTTGCCAAAGGTAAACTAGTCCAGTCCACTGTATTAAAAGAATGACGTATGTCAGTAGGAATCAGTGTTTGCCCCTCTTCCCCACCAACAACTGTATGGTCTACAACTGCCTTAACAAAAGTAGTCTTACATTTGTTTATACAAAAATAAAAGTATAAAAAGCTGAAGTGCGGTGAATGAGTTTTCTTTTGGTCTGCAACAACAAACCTGTAACAGTTTTCACCTTTCTCCTGACTCCTGGAATCTTGTGTGTGTGTGTGTACAAGGATACCTAACACACGACAAATGAGGAGACAAACTGCTTGGAAACTTGTGATGCGCCAAAAAGCGAAGAATGCGGCAGGCCACGGGGGGACCTCAGCCTCAGGTACTTTTCTAGTTAGCTACTTATGATGACAATACGTACTTACCTTCCTATCATTACTGAAAGAATGAAAGACAATGAAAGTTTGTTAAATTCAGTATTGTATGTTTTGAAAGCCTAGGTACACCTCACTAGATATGCAGAATGAGGCTGGTGCACATCTAGATTTAAATGTCAGATTTTGATACCTTTTCAACAGCTTATTCAGCTGTGCCTCACCTGTAGTAAACCAAGGATTTCAGTATTAAGAGGGGACGCAAAACTTTGCAATGAAGCCAAATATTAAAAGCAAGCTCTCTGTTTTGTAACTTACCCATTTTAAGGTCTATGGCTGTAACAAAGATATATAAGCTTGCACTAATAGGTAACTTTTAACTGCAAACATTTGTATTAGCAAGCTAAACAAAATAAAACTACCTAAGTAGATCAATTGTTAGAGAATGCTGCTATTTGCTAACCATTTCTATTTTTTGAGATCTTTGACCATTAACCGTTAAATTAAAAAAAAAAAAAAAAAAGGAAAATCAATGCCCAAGATCAGAAACTCGTTTTAAAAAATCTTAAAAATGACTTTTTGTTTTCACTAAACTGTACACAACAAATAATCTTAATTGATTCTCTTTTCGGTCAGCATGGCACTTCTGTGGCCATTCTCTGTCTGTAGAGTTCTTGTGTCCAAGAAGAAAGTTAGCTCAGCCCTTACCACTATCCCTTATATAATAGGTAGCGTGGGGAATTGAACATCACCTTACTTCCTCAGTAGTGAGCGAAGGGGGCACCTTCATTCTGTTACCCTTGTGCAACGCAAAATGCTTCTTACACTTCTTGTACTTTACAAAGCATTGACTATAGCAATATACGAGACCCTTAGTCCTGTTAGGTTAGTACTGCAGTCTTAGCAGTTTAAGAAAGAAAAAAGTTTAAAAAGTGACCCACAACCCCTAGTTACTTTCAGAAGAAAAACCCTTCACCAACAACTCCTAAAATAAACCATTTATTGAGAAAAAACCTTTTTTTAAAATTTCATTAATCAGCCTTGTGCATAACAAATCTGAAGCTTGCCAAAAACAAATAAACAAAAAACCAGTAAAAGTTCACAGTCAGTGCACTCAACAAACAGATTAAAAAACAAGGTCCATAACGCCTGATAACACTACAGCATTTTTCTGAACCTAAAGAGTTCAAAAATACTACATATTAACATTACAGTTCTCAATAAAATGAGAAACAGGAGAAAGAACAAAAAAGGTATGGTCCATATACAGTAGTAATGGCACTTTCACTGAAACATGCAGCTTCTTTCAACTTGCAGACACTGTCACAACTTGAGCAACATGTGCCAAGTAAAACATACAGGAGCAGCAGAGGAAGTGACGCATGTCACTTGTGCAGTCTTCATAAGTTCAACTTCTATACTGTTCTCAGCATAGTCTTTATGTAAATATTACATACAGTAGTGATTAAAAGGTATTTTTGCCAGAATAAAAAAGGCCAGAGATTGAATAACTTCATTCTTCATCTGTGCAAACCTGTGAAGGGAACAAAAGGCAATGAATTGTCTTTCTATTGCAGCAAAAAGATGACCATCAATTTCTTAAGCACCTTCATTGAACATAAGGTTAACAGGACATCTCTTGACATCGTTTAAGTTTTCTTTTTCCTTTATTATTATGATAATGAATGACAACTGTTCATATCTGACAGCATGCACCTCTTACGTCCCTGAAGAAGTGTTCTGCCTCTGTGGTGGATCGGATTTAGCTACAGTTACTGCTACGCCTAAATTTGTTGCTTAAGAATAAGCAAATATTCACAACTAAGAATTAAACCAAAATTCATGCAAGAACTACAACTTGTTACAGTAATGCCACAGTCAACAACAGTGTGAGCTTTACTGGAAAAAAAAAAAAAAAAAGGAAGAAAAGTAAATCCTTGTATAGAAGGATGATAAAGGATGTGCTTGTTTCATTTTTTTCCTATGGAGCGGACCACAATCTCTGCATTACAAAGTATAAGTTTTAGGCGCATACCTGGCCCCTCAGATGCAATTAGCTACCATTGAGATGGAGTTTGACAAATCTTTAATACAGATAATGCATCTTGCAACACATTGCACGGTGCACACCAGGTTCTTTTAGCCAAATGTTTGCAAGCAGCAATGTGTGTACCTTTTCAAAATTTCCAAGCCTTCCTTACTCTCTGTACAGCATCACCGTGCATCAGCCTCCCCCCACGATAGAAAGCCCTGGGGCACAGCAGCAAACGGCAAAGCCAGCGACGGCTGTTTGATTCCCACCTCCAGTCTTTGCAGCCAAAGCCGTGAGACAAACCTTGACAAAAGGATGGTCGAGGAGCTGGCTGGCTGTCCACCTCATCTTTGGGTCACTTTCCAGGCAGTGGCAAAGGAAGTCTTTCCCTTCTGGACTCACTTTGTCAGGAATTGGAGGTTTATGACCCATCCCCACTCTGTACATGATCTGGAAGTTGTGCTCATATTCGTGCCAAGGCCTCTGCAACAGGAAACAGAATTGCTAAGTGCAAGGTTTCGTGAGTAACTCACTGTGCAACAGAGCATATATGTCTGTACCCCAGGAATTTAAAAGACTCCCTTATACTTGTGGACTTACTACAAGGAATGAAACCATAGCTTTTGGAGAAACTGATGAGGACATTCAGCAGGTGAAACACCTACCTTGCCAGTGACCATCTCTATAACAACACAGCCCAGGCTCCAGATGTCTGCTGCTCGTCCGTGCCCTTCTCCTTTAGCTCTAGTGATTACTTCTGGAGCCATGTATGCTTTGAAACAACACATACAACGTCATTAGTTCATACAGCAGAAGGAACAGTATATACTTTGGTGATAAACTGGGCAAACCTAATGCTTCTAATACAACTGTATTTAATACATCTGTTGTGAATTACCACTTAGGTTTTCTTGCAAAGTTTTGTCTGGCTTTGGCTTCTTGTTCTTTGACACATTTTCAGTGTAGCTGTCTTTCAGTTTGAAAAATGGTGAAGTTCTGGTACAGTATGTGCTCTCACTTATTTTCCTTTTTTAAAACAATAGATTAATCAGGTGTTCAGTAAGAACAGTCCTGTTTCAGGAGGCTACAGAGAAAGGTAAAATCACAGAAAACAAAAGCTCCAGAAGCTTTATAATTAACCAAACAAGTAACATTTTCCAGTTGCAACATTCACTGATTATTTTTGCCTTCTGGATGTAAAGCACAGCTAACCAGCCAAAGTAAAATGACGTTTCCCTGAACCACACTGTTTTACCAGTCCAGACTTTTGACAGAGGCATTTTCTCTTATGGCAACTTGACAAGTTTCTGCCTAGCACGTGCTTCCTCACCTGCAGTACCCAAAGTGCTGTTCACTTCTCCAGGCATCGTCTGGGTGTTGTTCTTCAGTTTCACTGAGCAGCCAAAGTCTCCTAGTTTAATCAGTCCAGATGAGGTAAGAAAGATGTTGGCTCCTAGGAAACACAAAGAAAAACAGTACTGCTTGTTAAACCAATGCTGAACTAAGGCATGAGGGCTTCTCAACATGATGCACTACCGGAAGTTACACAGTAGGTAACAGCTGAGTTCACACTTGTATCTTTACCTGTGGATTAAGTGTGGAATATGACACCATTAAAGATGTACCCCATAGGGTATGTTACCATTAGCCAACTGGATTTTGATGGGTTTCAGTTAACACTAAGCATACTGGAACATGACAACAAGAAATGTTCAAAGCACAAAGCACTACGGCAGGCAAACTCATCAGCTTTTCGCATGTGCTCATTATGAGAAAACTCCTCCAGAAATATATGAATTCCAGTGCTTATCCCTGTGAGTGTTGCACTGCAAAAAAAAACATGTCCTTAAGGAGCTGTGTGGCAGAGGCCATTGATGCGTACCTCCCAGTATCCAACTTTTCTGTTCTGCTGGGTCAAGACAGGTGATACAATACAGCTAGGTCATCACGGCAGACGTAAAAGCTGAGCTTACAGCATTTGTTTATTACATATCCCACCAAATACTCACTCCTATTTAGCTCTACTTCCAGAATAATTTCTGGAGGAAGGCTACCATTACAGTATCTGGCTCCACTGCCAGCTTGCACCAGAAAAAATTCCTCTAGCACAGCTGAAATTCTCCGAGGGAAACCTGCGGCAGGCTTCAAGTTACTTGCTCTACACAACACTGCAAAATAAGCCAAGCGGTTTTGACAGCCAGTGGTCTCCTTTCGTTCAACATTCTGCCAAAACACAGGCAACAGAAAACAGAGCAGAAGGAGCTCACTGTGCAGGTCAGGCCAAATCCTGGGTCCTGCAAGTGCCACAATGAGACCACAAATAGGTTGCAAGTCACCTGGCAGAGATGCAGCTTGTGCTGTGATTTCTCTTACAGCAGGATGAATGCTATGCACAGAACAAAACTGCCTGCTTACTCTGCGAGTAGGCAAATGCAAGGACTTCGTTACACACAGCATTTTCCCATGTCACATAAAAGATTCTTTAAAAAATGGCTCCTTTGAATATAACCTTTCAAAAGAAGTTTCTCACTTTTGTTCCACCTTCAACATGGGTCAGTGCAGGAATTGTTGGCTGTTCCTCCTTTCTATTATGTTCTCTTAATTAATGACTTTTTCCAGTTAGCTTGGCTGGGCACCTCCAAGATATTTACAGAAAACAGAGTCCTCAAAAAGCTCAAGTCAAAAAAGGCAGTGCAGGTCAATGATGCCAAAACTACGCAGTTCTCAAAGGACTTCCCTTTCAGCTATGAGAATGGTTGATAACAGAAGCGAAGTG